CTCACAGACCCTTTTCCTTGTTTTTCCTTTCATACTACTGTCACATTACCCTCAGGAATTGGAAGTTGGAAGTAAAAGGGCTGTAACATCTTTTTGCTGCTGGATTCATGATGAGAAAATAAAATCAATCTATAAAAATATTGGAATTATTTGGAGTAATAAGAGAAGTGGAAATTACCAGCCTGCAAGAACAATAAGGATGGTATTGTGAGCGATACTGACAGCTCTCCTGGCAGTTCAGGGCCCAGTTTGCTGCACCTAGACCATCTTATCAGTTGTCCCTAGAACATAATGCTCAGAAAAGGGTATGCAGGTAAACTCCTGTGTAAAGCAAGCAGAGTTTTATGCCATCCGGCTAATCCATGGGCCACTTCTTTGCACATAACTGTTTTTAGATCTCCTACTGAAATTTCATAAATCTGAAGGATAAATTACAGGCAATTTATGTAAAGATCAACTCAAATTTTTCTCTTTGCTTTTCTGGGTGTTTTCATTGCTACTGAGAAATAGCTATCTAGTAAGGCTCTTCTGCTTCCACTTCCTTTAGGATTTCAAGTCCAGTTTCCTTTATCTGGTAGCTTCCTGTAATAAGATCTCCGAAACAAATACAAGTAGCTTATGTTGTAGCAGAGTTATGAAAAGTGAACATAAAAGAAATACACATAAATTTAATTACTAGGAAAAAAAGTGAATATTTAGTGTTTATCAAGTACCTAAAATGCAGAATTCTTTCATCAGCATGATTAGGCTATTATTTTTATAACCTAATAGTAATTAAACAAGTTTTCACTGCTTACCTAGGAGGTGGGGTATAATTTATTTTTTTCCTGACAGACATGTTTCCTATTCTAATTTGCAGCTGATTGCTAAATGAGAGAAATTAGTCACCCTTGGTGCTGCTGAATACCTTCTTTTATTTACCTTTTTTAATTGGATTTATCTGTGGAATCTAGTCCATTCAGTGTTCTTTCCTATATATATATACATTCATATGGGTAGACATACACTGTGAGGTACATTACTGAGAGCTCACTTATACTCAGATATTTACTGACCAGAACAGTTCTGGCTGGTGAACTGTATCAGTACAGGAAGTTATTCTGAAGTAGTGGTGTTTTAAATTCATACCCAAACTTGTTTGTCACTCACTTCCCTTCTAGGCGAGTGTTGATTTAACACTCTGCTACTATTAAGGAAATGTTAAGGAAACTCAGAGTAATGTTACCTTCTGCTTGTTTCCTTGTATTCTATATTTAGTTTCATGATGACGGAAGCTTGTTGCAACCACTTTAAGTTGACTAACAGAGCCTTTTATTTTTTTGTGTGTAAATGTGGCTTTCTGTAACATTCTGGTGTGAAGGAGGCCTTAAGAGAGAACTGTGTGGCTAGAAAAAGAAATTTATGTCTTGAGCCTTCTGTTCAAACATTGCTGCAGTATAAGGCTTGAGAAGAGGGAGCTTTGCAAGCTTATAATTAACTGAAATAAAAAAGCAGGCAGTAGAGTGTAGTTATAGCAGGAAAGAAGATCTCACCAATGCAGCAGCCACATCACTGGTGAGTGTCTGCAGTGGTGTGAAAGTTGTCAGGGAGTGGAAGAACAGAGAGGAGGACCGATCTTTCAGCACCCTATGTGTCATCTCATTTAATTTGAATTCATCACATGGGACAAATGTTTTTTTTCCAAATATCAGTCTATGATCAGAGGCAGAGCTGAAGACAAATTCAGTACCAGGCTGAATGGCTGGCTTCTCTTCTAGCTTACTGTAAGACAGCTTCTATCAACTAATTTAATTACTGAATTGGCTGAGAAAGACAGATCTTCTTACAGTGTGAAAGGCTTGTATTTTTATTCCAGAAGATAATGGGTACAGTAAGGTTTGAGTACTTCTGCATATAATTTGCCTTTCTATAAAAGGCTCAGCTTTTGTGTTTTTAACTGCATTTGCAAAATACTTTGTAGGTTAAAATAACAAACATTCAGTAATTATGTCAGAAAAGGAAACTACAAATTTGAGGGCAACTGTTCATCATAAATCTTGCTCCCAAACATGTCATGGACAAGCAGCTAAAGTATGATATGGTCTGAGTTCCATTTCACTTAAAACAGAATTTTATTAGGTCTTACAAGGACTGAGAAGTATCTGAACCCTGAGAAACTGCAAAGGCTGGAAATACTCTCTTTGTATCAGGAATGTTAAGGTGGTGGTTTGGGTTTTGGTCTGTTTGTTGTTTTGTTTTAGAAGGTGCCCAAAATAAGCACTGGGAAGTCAATTGCATAATAATTGCATTACATTTAAAATAATTTTTTATTCTGTATAGAGAACAAGTTAATATCTTTTCTTTTTCATTTCTTGTTTTTGTTACTTCTCCAATGTCTTTAAATCAATGTGTCTGCCTGATTGGTTTCTGCCCCTTAATCTGGGTAGATAACAAATATTTGAGAAAGCTCTGTTTCACATATCATTTACTTTTCCAAGATTGCTAGAGAGCTAATAGATAAAACAGTTGAGCTGAAATGGATTTAAGCGTCTGGAGAAATGTGTACTTGGCAATCTGTTTTACAGTGCTGTTCCTTCCCTGGGATTCTCTATGGTTGCAGTGGGTAGGTTTTAGTAGTATGTAATCCAACTGATGATATACTAATTTAAAAGATGTAAATGCAAATGCCCATGAGCAAGTAACAGACTTGGCAAGTAGATGGAATCAATACAACTTTCAAACGCTTGTAAAGATTTAGCCTTGAGTTAATTATGGTAGCATTTTCTCTTGAAAGGAAAAAGGAAGTTAGGTTTACTAGGAGATGAAGCACCATGCATAACACGCACATGCATGCAAAATTTTGGCTGTCTTACAATGAAAACTGGCATCTATAATCATTGGTCATCTTAATTTTAGAACACCTGAGACAAGTCCAAGTTCTTCATATTAAATTTTTTTTTCCCCTTTTTTATTTAAAAAGTTGCCTGTTGCTGTGCATTATTGTACATTGTGGGTTTTTATATATGTACACACTTGTCTCGCATGTGCTCAGGATTTATTATTTGTACTTTGTTTCCAACTTTGTTTGAAAAAAGAATCTTTTGAAAGAGGTTGTTTTAGAGCTCAGAGACATATATGGACAACTGAAATGGCCAGATACAAAAGCAATAATTCATGCACATAGTTTTTGCTGAATACTTGGAAAATACACAAATTAGTGCCAAGAAGCACAGCTTTGGAATGCTACATCTACTTTGCTATCACTAGAACTGATTAGTGTACATTTTGGTGCATATAGGTAAGGGGAAAGTCTGGAGCAAGAAAGACATACCCTTGGTGGATAAGGGCCAGGTTAGAGAGTACTTAAGGAAGCTGGATGTCCACAGGCCCTAATAGGATGCACATAAGTCCAGAGCAACCTCACAGATGTCATTGGGAAGCCACTCTTTATTATCTTCAGTGATCACAGTGACTGAAAGAGGTGCTTGAGAACTGAAGGAAAGCAAATCTCACGTCTGTCTTCAGAAAGGACAAGGAAGACCCAGGGAACTACATGGTCAGTCACACCTTGATCCCTGGGAAGGTGTTGGAACAACTAGTCCTGGAAAATATTTTCACATCCATGGACAAAAAATGTGACTGGATTCACAAAGATGAAATCACTTTTGACCGACCTAAGGGGAGGGTGTACAGAGGATGGAGCTGCCTCTTTACATCAGTGCCCAGTGGCAGAACCTGAAGCAAGGGGCACAAACTGAACAATGGAAGCTTCCTCTGAACATCCAAAACTACTTTTCACTCTTTGGGCAACTGAGCCCTGTCACAAGCTGCTCAGGTAGTCTGTGGAGTCTCCATTCTTGGAGATACTCAGATGAAGCCTGGATGTGGTTCTGAGCTGTAGGTGGCCCTGCTTGAGCAGGGTTGGACCAGATGACTTCCAGAGGTGCCTTCCAACCTCAGCCAGTCTGTGAATCTGTTAAATATATCTGAGACTTTCACATTAAAAAGAGGAAAAGTATTCTCTGATTTATTTTATTCACTATAGCCCATAGATGGAATAGGAAGAGAAGGCACAAAAACATATAAATTGTAGTTTGTTTATTTGTGTTATGTAAGTTAACTTACAGTCAGTGCAGTTTAGGTTGAATTGCACATAATGCCTAGATAGTTCTTCAGATGACATTGATAAGAATGCACGTTTTTTACTTACTTTTGAACAGTTGTTGGTAAGTTCTGAAAATCTTTCCTTGTGTGGCAAGGAGTGTTGCTTTCTAAGGGATTTTCAAATTCTGTGCAAAAAATACTGAATTAAATACAGAGCACAAAAAGTCTAGAAGATCCACTTTAGAGCTTTCTGGTGAGTGGTTTTTCACAGAAGGAGGAATGCCTAAGAGTGTCAGCTTTTATAGGTTAGACTCTTCTTGAGAAGAGAGACAATTATATTTGAGAATTTTCTCAGTGGCAGGTAGAGAGTTTATTGCTGATCAAGTGGGGGTGGAGAATGTGCTGCTTTGCAGGGAAAATGTCTTGGATTTTACACTGTCTTATAAAGGTGAGCATTAGCATTGATGCAGCATAGTGGTCCTCATTCAAGTGTTTAAAAGGAGGGCTTTCCTAAGAGATCTGGTCTGTTTGATGCACTATAGATGTGCTTTAATAGGGCTAAATATTGTTTTCCGTTAATGGATTGTGAGCCTGGAATAGAGATTATAAACCAAAAAAATAAAGGCCTAAGCACAAAAAGCTTGGGAATCATTGACTTCTTAATGTGTGGATTCTGATTCATCCCAAAACATTTAAGCCACATAGTTATGGAACTAATATTGTCTTTTGTAACTGATACATATTTGTGTGTGTTTCAATTATGCAAATAGTGTTGCTCAGTGTTTTTTAGCTACATCTGGGAGTGTGTAGTTCATTGAATTGGGTAGCATTGGTATTTTTCAACATATTGTGAATTTATAAGCATTTCAGGAAAATGCACCAGTAACATAAACTTACTCCACTCTTCTCTCTGTCAGGAAGAAGGAAATATCAAAGAAATTGCAATAACTCACCATGTAAAGGAAGGACATGAAAAAGCAGACCCTTCACAATTTGAACTTCTGAAAGTACTAGGACAAGGATCCTTTGGAAAGGTTGGTGACTGAACTCTTGTGGAACCAATTATTCAGGAATATAGCACTGAATAATACTAGGAGTGAAATATTTAGAACAACAACAGTCTTGCATTACAGCAACATTGCAAGTGAAAATTCCTTTCTTATTAGTGCTAACCAGCCCCTGTAATTGTGGCAGATCTTTTTAAAGCAGTAAGTACTTTTCTGCTTTGTGTGATATGTAGATCTCTTAGATCCTTTGAAAAATGAGGTTAATATTAAATTGGGTATTCAATGTTACAGAAAAATGACATTCCACTTTAACTACTCTTCTGTGTTTGAGGGAGTGAGGGTTGAAAAAAAGTTTCTCTGAGTATTCCTGGTTGGTAACTTGCTAATGACAGGTTATCACCAGTACAGAAGCTATTTGCACCATTTGTTTTTGTAGCAGATTGTAATTTTAAAGAAAAGATTTTAAGCAATAATGGCTGATGAAGTAGATCCAATATACCCTGGTGATGTTTACGCTAGGCATTGCCTGTCATAATTTAGTCAAGACACACCATGCCTTGATAGTTACTGAAAAATCTGTAAAGGCTCCAATGTTGTTGGCATTTGCTGAGTATTGTCCACATGGAAGTAGCACTAGATGTACGTGATTCATATTTTCAGTTGTCCAAATCCAACTTGGAAGCAAAATATTAACTTCAGGTGGCAAGACAGATCATTGAGATAAAATGGAATATGCAATTTAAGACAACAGAGCCTTTACATGCATTTTCAGCCTTAATTGCAGTCCTGAATATGATGTTAAGATCTGGCATATAATGCCAAATTCATCTTGGATATGGAGGAAAGAGAGAATTATTAGTCCAATTCTCTCTTGGTGGTAGGAATTTACTGTCAGTCACATTATTGGAGTAGCAGTTCCAGTTAATCTTGGAAGTCCAGAAGTTTAGAAACTATAAAATTTTGTGCTCAAATGAGTAAGAATTCACTGAGAAAACTGATGGGAAAGGCAGTTTCCTATGTTGTTTGATTTTATCCAGAATCATAGCCAAGTTTTTATATGGTAATCTTAAAAAACAGAAGTAAATCATTTAGGGGCAAGGAAATGTAAGATAAATGATAAGTTCAACATTTGCTTTTATTGCTATTACTAAATTCAATGCTGTAAATGCGGGGGGTTTGGCCAAGTTAAAAAAGCAAAAATTAACTGTCTAGTTGACTCAAATGATTGCAAAATGTCAGTCTTGTCCTCAGTTGTTTTAGCCTTTATGCAAAAAGGATTAATATTACAAAAGTCATAATCCTGTCTCTTTTTTTAATAATTTGGGAAGTTGCCACCACTTTCCTTTCAGTTTAAAAAGACGTAATTTACATATTTCTCAATGTCTCTTGATGATCTTCTGGTAATCTCTGGATATTGCAAAGGGATGTTCACATAAGTGAGAACTGCATACAAAAAGAGACAAAACTAATATCATATAACACATGTAGCATTCTCATATACCACAGCGTGTCTCTGCATTTTTTCATAAATAACCAGAAAATCTGTGGCAGGTATGTTTTTCTTCTTCATTTCTAAATCTAAAATTTGGCTGTACTGGGATTCATTTTGTATTAAGGATAATAAAAATCCCACTCAAGAAATCCCATTACACTAAAGAAGGAAATGAAACACACTTTAATTGAGGCTGGTTGTACTTTATAGATATGTGCAAAACTCAGCTGAAGCATGTAATAAAAAAATACAGTTTTGTGACACAAGAGGTTGGCTGTTATAATCTCATAAATTGTTTTTTTAAAAAAAGAAAAATATGCTTTGATCTGCATAGCTTTCTGGGTCAACTTTTTTACACACTTATTTTCATATCTGATATTTATTAGCACTTTTACTATGCAATCTTATGAATTCTATTAAGACACAACTATTTAGAGATTAATACTTAAAAGCTGAATTGTATTTTTCAAATTTGTCTCAACTTCTGAGAGAATCCAAATTTATCCTTTCTTTTAATCACAGTAATCAGTTAAATATAAATTATTTTAATAGACTTTATCTTGAATGAACATTTTAGATTATGAAACAGTAAAAAATGAAAGGAAATTTTGGTTTGGCTTTGCAGAATTTAAATGTCAAAGAAGCTAATAATAGTATTAGGAAGAATAACAAGGTTGGGTTTCATTTGAAATAGTAATGACTACTTGAATTTCTTAGTAAAGTATAGTGATCTGACTGGCCTGTATTTCCTTTTAAGAATCCTTTTCATTTTCAATGCAGGTTTTTCTTGTCAAAAAAATCTCAGGATCAGATGCTAGACAGCTTTATGCAATGAAGGTATTGAAAAAGGCCACCTTGAAAGGTAAGCACTGCCTTGGGTGGGGAAGGGGAAAGGATAAATCGGGGACATTATACCAAAACTTCATCTTTATACACATGCTGTTCAACGCATTGTGCCTTAGAACTTTATCAAACAGCAAACAGCAGAATACACTTCCTTGTACTGTAAACCCTGAAGGACAACATTGGGAGTTATAGGTGAAAGTAGGTTTCTTTCCATGCTGAGTTGATTAGGTGATGGTGGTTTAGCAGAGTAGTTGTGTTACATCTGCCACCTGACTTGCTGCTGACCTGTTATTTGAAACTTAATATCCTTCCTTTTTTCATTTGCTGTGTATCACCAAGGATACAGTTGAGGCCTTTTGCTCAGTTTATATTTAGCTCATGCTATTTAAAAGTGTATTATATCAGCTGCTTTATTCTGAAGGCTTTAAACAAAGGAGTTTAACTCTTTCTTTAAAAGAGAAGTATACAGTACAATTTCCCAGAACTTTTGGCACTTGTTCTGGATGCAGGATATATTTGATAACATCTTGAATTAATCATATGAGTTCTTTGAGAAAAAATTAATTGTAAATTGTTTTGTTTCATTTGGTTTTGGTCTCAACTGGTATCAGTAACAAGATAAGTTCCAACCTGAGAAATCTTAAATCTGTTCTGTAGAATTCCATAAAAGAAAAGAAATTTATTTTTTTTTTTGACTGTAGATTAAAATTAAGGTGATTTTTCATACTAATCCCTTAAACATAATATATATATTTGTTGCTTTATGCTATTATTTAATACTTTTGTTCATTTGTAGTTCTTCTAACTCATGACTGCACTGAAATTGCAGCGATAATTCTGGGATAGTTCCAACAACCTATAGTATTTCACCTGTGTTATTGATTATTATGTTGATTTGCAATTTTAATATACAGTTTCATCTGAAAGTATTCATAGAATTATGCAGGGATCAAATACTCATATTGAATTGTGAAATTGTGCTAAATGCCAAACCTGATATTTTTCTGCTGAAGATCTAGTGCTGAATATCTGTCTCACAAATCTAATTATGTATCACTTCCATTTAAAACTATTACAGAGGGTGTGTTTTTGAACAGTTTCCTATATTTGATTCCTCTGTGTTTTGTGGCACGTGTTATTCTCATTATTTACTTCCTATTTTTCTGAAATTGATTTCCAGTCATTTAAAGCACTTAGATATCCTCCATGGCCTTTCATTCTGTAGCTTGTTAATAGCTCAGAACTGGAGTCAAAGGTCATTCAGCAGTTGCTTTTTCAAGATGTTTAAGGGCTTCTCTCTATCACCTTTTGATTGTGGTTTAAACTTCTGTGTAAAAATTACAATGCAAGATGTGGATCTAGCATTGCCTGCTGATGGCAGAGACTGATAGAGGTACTGAAATGGGAAGCTTGACTTTTGGTTGGAAAAGGAGATGTGAGCCCTATAAATTCAAGAACACAAAAGGTCTTGAGCAGAAAGGTGACACTAGCAGGAGGATCCCACGCTTCAGACATTATCTAAATTTCTAGATGTTTTTGAGTTTCTTCGTCACTATGGATGTTTTAGGAAGAGTGGAGTTGCAAGCAACTGAAGGTTACTGTTGAAATCCTAACATGAAATGAGCCCATTTTTTTTTTCCATAGTTGCAGCATTTTTGAGATTAAATATTGTAATTGCAAATAATACACTGTATTACTTGATTCATGTAAGGTTCTTTAGCTCTTTCAAATATATTTAATAAAGGGGTTTTTTGTGTTATTAAAAACTCCTTTAAGACTTCTGAATCAAAAACTGTGTGCATGATTCACAAATCAAATTTAAAGAGAATATTTTCATAGGAAGACAACTATATTAGCCAAAACATGCTGACATAACTACAACTTTTTAATTTTTAGAGTGAATCCAAGAATATGCACATAGAACTTTGGTGTAGAGAGTAGTTTATTAATACACTGTGATAGAAAATATCATCTTACAGTACCCCTTGATGATGGGAAGAGAAGGAAGCAGGGACAAATCATTCTAGGGAGTATGGAAACAAATATATTAAGAAAAATGAGTACTTCCAGCAGTACACATATGGAAACTACAGTAAATGATGTCAGATTTTGAATGGCTAATACTGATATTGGAAATTATCTCAATTCCTTCTACTTTCTTTGGTCGAGATTTACAAAATCTGGACTTTCTCTGGCTTTTCAGAAATAAGGGGGTTTTATCCATGTAACTATTGCGTAGTGTTTTTCAACTGAGTCTACCTAAAAAACGAATATTCTGATTTTCAATTTTGTAATTCACATGAACCCTTGGAACAGTGAAGTCGCACAACTGTCTTGTGACATATTCATTACTTTAGATGTAAAGGTCAGAATTAAAATGTAATGTTTGCTCTGTTTGACCTGTTAATTGGTGTACTTCCATTTTTAGGAAACAGTTCTGCGGAGAGATGGGTAACTTCATGAAAATGTATCTGTATAACTTGAGTTCACAATTATTATTGTACATGCCTGTTAAGCTAAACTTCCGAAAGACCCTTTTGCTTCTTCGTTTTTTTTCTGCCTTGTTATGTTTTGGTGTCTGAGAGCTCTGCCTTGTTAACTGTGCAAGGAATGCTGACAGCTTAAACTTTGGACTGGACTTCATTGCTCTGGGGTGCATCCTTCAAGAAGTTGTAGCATTTAGGAAAGCGGCAGAAACAGTGTAGAATAAGGGAAGGAAGAGAAATGCAACACCTTAAACCATTGTAGAAAATTTTGCTACCTCTCATCTGTTAGAGTTCTGAATTTTGTTTGTATCCTGATGGATTTGGAGCTTTGGATGAGAACCAGGCACTAGCTGGAGTGGCAGAAGAGTTGCCTTGGACAGCTGAAGCAGGTGCTGTGCTCAGCAGATCATCCTGCCAGTTGGTCTCCATGGATTGCCAGCCTGTATGCAGGGCATCTGCATGTGATCTTCAGTTAGTCAAATCTAGAGTGACATAGGAGCTGATACATGTCCCCTTCTGAGCCTCCACGGCTGGAGAGCACAGGCAGCTTCAGCAGCAACTGCTTCTGATGTTTGATATTTCTTCCATGCACACATTTACTCTCAGCAAACCATTTTAAAATAAACAAGATTGTCTGAAGTACAGTCTACATTGAATATTTTTTTAATTATAAATCACAACAAAGGAAGGACATTTTCTAAGAATCCCTTCTAAATCGTGATGGTACTTAATATCTTATTAGTGCAAGTTATTTGAATGAGCTAAACCAATATAAGCATCTTAATGATAGTGTAATTGTATTTATAAATTTGTTTTGCTTTTTACTTTGTATCTCCCTACTTTTCAACAGTCGAGAAAATGGCTGTTTTCTACACATAGCTGTGGCAGTTTTGCACTACTGCTTAAAAGGTTAACTATATGGTAGGCTAAAGTGTGGTTATGTTTTCTCTTGTGCTTTTCTTATGTTTATTTACTCAGTGTCAGATTTTTGTCAGTAGCATAAACTGAAATAAACTCAAATGCCAAGAGATTTATCAAAATACTCTGCACTGTGAAATAAGTTCTTTCTCGAGCCTTTTCTGTGTAAAATATAGTTACCTGCAGACAGTTGTAATACTACAGAACTCAATGTGAAGTAGATCAGAAAACATTAAATACTTTTTTTATTTTTTTAAATCTTGCTCATGTGCTGTTTTAGTTCGAGATCGGGTTCGGACAAAGATGGAACGTGATATCCTAGTAGAAGTTAACCATCCTTTCATTGTCAAGTTACATTATGGTGAGTTGCACAAAAAATCATCTTTACATTATAAAAATGGGTGCTTGTCAAGATAGTACCTAATATTTGCCTCTTGGTTCAGAGAATCACAGAAAATTAGTGTGCTATCTAAACCCTGACAGTGCAAAGACTTGTGTAGTAATTCTCATGCAAAGTATGCACATGGCTGATTTCATACCCAGTGTTAAATCTATAGAACTGAGAATCTGTAGTCCATTGCTTTATTAAAAATGTTATCTCTTTATGTCTAGCCAATCTTTTCCAAAACCTCTTATATTTTATGTTGTTCACTTATTTTTTTATTATTATTATTTCTTATCCTTGTTTTATTTACTCTATAGAAAACACATGCAATGGCATTACTGCCAGTCGTATGCTTTTAAATTAAATAATATAGACAACCATAGAAAATTATTAATATGAAGGGGTGAGGAAATCAGTATTCTTTAACATGCCATGCAGAAAGTAAACTGAAAAAAGATAGAGAAGAGCTTTTGCAGTTAATTTTTTTTCAGTTTGCTTTCCTTTTAGGATAAATTTTTTCCCTCAGTTTAAACCCCAGATCTCTCTCCCTCTCTGATGTGCCGTAAATAATGCAGCTTTTACTATTTTACTTGTCATTCTTGCAAACTAGACTAGATGTCCCTGTTAAGCTGAGTTTCCAGAGTTTTTAGAATATGTGCATTAGTTACTAGCTTGCCTGTTTAAATCTGGGCTTTTTACTTCCAAAATTTGGAATGGAATGCTGACTAACCTAAGTATGGGGTTTTTCTTAGAAATTCCATTTGTGGCTTGCTTTGCTTTCACGCATCATGAGAGCAATCTGGTCCATGATAAGAGGTTTTTTTTTCCACAAAGCAGGAGGTGGGATTAATTTTAATAGTGAAAATAAGGATAGAATATTGGGAATGTTATTCTTCTGATAATGGGTAAAATTAAATTACGTATAATTTTTAAAACTGTTCTTTTCAGCTTTTCAAACAGAAGGGAAGCTGTATCTTATTTTGGATTTTCTCAGGGGAGGAGACTTGTTTACACGTTTATCCAAAGAGGTAAAGTTTTTTTAATTTGAAAATTGTATATTGTTAAAATTTTACTATAAACTGTCTGTATCAGGAGAGTTTACTTTTAAATTAGTTCTTTTAAATAAAATTTGTAATATATTTTTTAACCAGCTTAGGTTTTTGGGCTTTTTTGCAGAAAGTAGTGACTTCCTGCAAGTGCTGTTGGTTATTTACATTGTTTCTGGAAAAAGGCTTAGACAAGCAGTCTTTCTGCTTTTTACACCTTGCAAAATTTTCTTCTTTTCTTGCTACCATGTTTAAAGATGAGTCTCCGAAGGAGCATTGATCTAATATAAAGTAGTTGTATTCAATTCAATGTGCAAAAAATTCCAAGTATTATATAGGAGGCTAGGGGATACACTGTGAGAACTTGTAATTGTAGCTGCATTCCATTTTCCCTTGCTACAGGGTATCCAGGAAGGTTGTGTCACCACTATAAAGCTGTGCAGTTATTACACTTAATTAAGTGAAGCAATATGTTTCAAGTTACTTCTTTTAGTCTGTTTTACCACAGATAAGTAGAAAGGTGTTAATACTCTAAACTAGAGATACTTTTTTCTTAAAATCTATAGTTCGTTCTTGATTCCCAAGAATATATATAATACTTTCCTGCTGCTGACTACTACTTCTTGACCCACTCAAATTTTGTGAGAATGAATATGGTTACAGAAGAAATATACCTGAATGTACACTAATTGTTCATAACTGATGGAGTGAAATGGGCATGCTCAATGCAATTAATGTCATCTCATAACAATTCATGTGATTTTAAAATAGACCAGATAAAATGCACTCTGAAAGGTCCTGCTTTTCCCCCGTTGACTCCAAAGGGGAAAGTGTCTATGCTGCAGATGTTTAAGGTTAGGAGATACTAATTCCATGCAGTGTTTTTAAAGAATGTTGTGTGGGTGTATTGTCATCCTCATGGGATCTTTTATTATTTGAGCTTTTAAACATTGCTTAAAGGGATTTGCCTTCTTGATTGTGCCTGCACTAGATATTGGGTCTTTGGTGGAATTACCATCAGCAACCTTTTGTGCAAGCTTTGGTATCACTTTCTCTATTTAAACTACTAAGGGGAAAAATATACGGTGTTCTGTGTTCATAACTCCTGCTTAAAATAATTATAATCTGTGCCATCAATTGCTATTCTTTTTTTCCAGTTCCATATGCTTTATCTAAAGATGTTAGTTAGAAATTCTAAAGAAAAAAATTTTAGGGCTTAGAGTAGTAACTGATCTAGAATTAATTTATCTTAAGTTTACTTGGAAGTTTACTCTTATCTAGCTTTTCTGCTGTTCTATCTCAGGCTGCATCTTGCGGTTTTTACTGTGACTGTGACTTCTTTTTCATAGTTCTTAGAGACAGTCTTATCAAAAAGGATGCATGCACTTTTCTTCTTTCTGATTTTGTGGATGAAGTTCAGGTGTTTGGGCTTTTTTAGTCCATTTGTTGTTTGGAAATTAAATGGTCAGCAAAGAGGGAGTTACATTCTTTAAACGTGCTTCCCCCAAATTTTTTTTTCCCACTAAAATGGGTCTTTCTGTTTTCTTGAACAATTGGAAGTAAATAACCTCCGTTTTCCAGGAAGAATAATATTATATTGACTTCAAGTATGTACTGTGAAACAACATTGATTTGAAAACCCTAGTTTTTGTCTAAGAAATTTTAATTTCTAGGGTTTTATATAGAAAGGAATTCAAGTATTATGAACTATCCTGTGAAACCACTGTCACCATTGTTTAGTTGGTTCTGTTGTAAGCTTTACACTTAAAATACATTTATTTGCTTTTTCAGGTTATGTTCACAGAAGATGATGTTAAATTTTACCTGGCAGAATTAGCACTTGCTTTAGACCATCTACATAGTCTTGGAATAATATACCGGGACCTAAAACCAGAAAAGTAAGACTCTTCTGTGGCAGACGCAGTATATTAATTTGATTTGTATGGCACTTGTACCTACAGGCTTCTCTTTCCACCTATTAGACTTCAGTAATTTACTGTATAAACTGAACAGGGAGGAAGGTGAAGGAAGATTTGTGGCCTATTTTAATTTAAAAGGTTGTACTTCATTTCCACTCAAACATGGGCATCTAGTTTCAGAGTGATATGGCAAGTGCTGGAATCCATGTTAGTCAGAGTATGCTGAAATATTCCTACCTTTCATTCTCCAGGTGTTTTAGGGTGTACAGTGGATAAGAGGTCTTGGCCTTTTGTTTTTGTCATTATTGTGGAATTTCTGAACTAGAGATAAACTTAGAACAACTGCATGATATAAAGTTATAGCTGAATGTTGTATCTCCTGTTTGCCTTTCCTCCAGTATTTTTTGTTTGCTTGTTTTTTGTTTAGTTTTAGAAGACGTAAAGAAAATATCAGTGCTATCATCTGGAACATTTAAACCTTTCAAATATAAATGTATACTGTAGTGTTACTCTCTACCCTGGAAGGAATCTAAGTTACAATATAATGCATGCATCTCCTCTTACACCTAATTAGATGGTTAACATACTCTGCCTCATTGCAAGGAAACCTATAATAACTGAAGGGATCCCACATCTCTGTTATACCTATATGGAGAACCTGGAAATCCAGTGTGAGATAACTGTCTCATGTAAAGTATTAGGGGAAAGGAGCAAAAATGAGTAACAAGTATCAAAGAACCAGGTTGTTATGTGGAACTTCCGTAAGAATTTTACTTTTGCGCATCTGCAGGGAAAAAAGACACATTTAAAAATGTTTACCCCTGACTAACAAGAGGGGAAAGATTCATATTCAAGTAAAAAATTGAGACTTTTGGCATGGGTTTGCACTTAGAAACAACAGAGAATTATATCTAACGTTTGAGAGTGTTGTGTAATTCTGAAGTGAGCAAAAATAAACTTAGCAAGTCGAAAAAGATCTTTAAAAAACAAATCAAGAGAACTTTAGTTCTTTTTGCTAACATTTAATTCCAAGAGGAAACCAACAAAATAGTAATTGTCAAAAGACTAAGTATGTACTGCCTCAAACATGGTGTTGAAGGAAAAACAGTAATTGTATGTGTCTATACCTATTGAAATCCTTGGGTGCATCTGATTAAAGAAAAAACTATCAAAGGTTGAAATTAATTTTAAGCTACAGATGAGATAATAGTAACTCTCACAGGCTATATCTGTACTGTGGGGCTGTTCCACCATGGAAACTGCAAGGAGTAAAAGGGAAAGGCATGGAAAATGGGCAAACAGTGTTGTGCCTGGGTCATGCTCATCCCTAGGATGAAAGGCAGCTCCCCACAAAAGAGGGAGGAACTAAGTCTACTGTGTAGGTGGTGTTACAGAGTCCAGTTCCTGAATACATTCCATGCTTTGAATTGTGATTATATTCAGTCACGGTTAAGGATAGTTGGCATCCTGGAGAAGTGTCACCTTTTTTGTGATTGAAATAAACAAGCAGAGGCATAAGGGCTGCTCTAAGTATAGGCCCATGAGTCCTTGGTACAACATAAGAATATTTATTACTTGATATTTGAAGTGGTCAACAGTCTTTGAAACAGTAATTACAGATGAATATCCATTTTATATACATATGTAAACATCCATTTTATTAACATGTCTTGCTCAGCTTAAGGGAAATAGAACTGTATCTCTGTTTTTAACAATTGTGATAATGACAAATGCAGATGTCCAAAACTGAAAGCTCAAGATAAATGCTGCTATGTATAACTACTACTACATTTCATGATCTTTAAAATAAGTAATTGAAGGAGAGGAAAATGTATTGTTCCAAGGGTCTCCTCCTGATGATTCATTTTCTCACATGTGCAATTTTGCTTGACTTTGTGTATGCTGTTGTTTCTTCCTAAATATTTTTAGTACATGGTCTGAAACAACAGTTAAAATATATTTAATTTATTTTCTTTTTTTTTTTAGCATCTTGCTTGATGAGGAAGGACATATCAAGTTAACAGGTGAATAAAGGGAAGATGCAACAACTGGATCTTTCTGTTCATAATAAAATTTTTCAATTTTCCTTTTTTCAGTAAATTATTTTGAAATAAATTAAATATGTTAGTGTTTAAATAAGATATCTGCTTTATATCTGATGTTACAGACCTGTGATAATGCGGGGAGAGGAGGAGAATACTGTAATTCCTAAATTCCTGTATGTGTATTTGGGTGTATATAGGAATGATATAAGCATCACATTTCATGTGGTAATGAGAGCATTGACTGTGAGTGATTTTTATTTTATTTTTTTTTAAATAAAATTGCATTTAGAACTCTTTCTTTTTTCTTCCAGATTTTGGCTTAAGTAAGGAATCCATTGATCATGAAAAAAAAGCCTACTCTTTCTGTGGAACAGTGGAATACATGGCACCAGAAGTGGTTAATAGACGAGGGCACACACAGAGCGCAGACTGGTGGTCATTTGGTGTTCTAATGGTAGGTTTCTGGTAAATGTAAATCATAGCAAAACAGTGCTTTGCAAGGTTTGGTGAAACAAATCAAACATTAAACTATAAGGTGAGCTTTAAGTTAATTTTAACTACCAAAAAGTTTTAAATTACATGAAATTAATAACAGTACCCCCAAGTTTAGATCAAGAACATGGACTAGGTCTCATATCAACACCAACATTATGCCATATTTTTGTTATCACTGAAGTGAAATATGTGTCTATTCCAGTTTGAATGTTAAGACACTAACAGGAATACTAAAGTGCATGGGGAAAAAGCACTGTCTTCCACTGTGGGGGAAAGAATTTAGATCCAAATTTTGAATTTTAATTTATTCTTAAATGGAAAACTTTCCAATTAATCTCCAGTGTAATTACAACTTAGTAGAATAACAACTGTTTCTCTTACACATCAAAATAATGCAAATTACAGTGAGCTGATATGGGATATAGTTGCTTAATTGCTTATGGTGTTTTTGCAAGAACCTAACTTCTGTGAAGCTGCAATGTTGGGGGAAATAATACTTGTGTCAGATATGCCTTTGGAAAAGAAAAACAGGTCATATTTGGTATTTTAGGAACACTGAATGGCTTTTAGTATTTATAATCTTTGTGTGCATTTTTGACATAAAGATGAAATAATTGTATTTTTTTGAAGGAAATGTTTTTGTTTCTTACTGCTTCCTTTACATATGACTGTAACAATATAACTAATGTGTGCTTTGTAGTCTGAGAAGGACTTGTGTCTGAAAATAAGTCATCCTATCACCTTTTAACCATCTGGAATGCTGTTGTGATCTGAAAACTGACTATGTAAAAGTAGAACCTGATAACTCTTCCTAGACCAACCAGCACACACACACCCTCACAACTGCATGTTTTATGAGTAAGAACACAGTCAGTTACAGTGTAGTTGCAGAATATTTTTGTTGATAACACAAAAATAGTTGAAGTTTAACTTTGTTTTATAGAGCTGGAAAGCATACTTTGTGCTTATAAAGTGAACATGTTAAAACTGAACATTGCTGAATGATTTTGCATGTGACTTCTGAAGCTTTCAAGGTCTAAATGGACTGCATTCCAACACTTTCACTTTTCCTTTGAATACAAATATATGGCCTTAAAAAGCAAATTCTCTAAGTTACTTAATATAGTGCAGTGCATTTTTCTCTAAGACATATTTTTATTGCCTGCATTTCTAGTTTACATTATAATTTTCATAGTCTGTATTTATCCACTCTTAAAAAATTCTTAATTAGAATCTGTGAGGATTAAGAATTCAAGTGTTGTTGGTGTGGTATGAGTAGGCGGGATGTAGGTGGAACAGAAGTTGTAGCATAGAAACAGGTCTAGGAAGATATCTCAACATGTTTGGCCTCTTTTCTCCTGCTGCCAGACATTAGGTACATTGTTTAGAAGTATATACCAATTTGTCCTTTAAAACAGTGCCAGACATGTAAAAACATTTAAGTTTTCAGAAGCATTATGTTTTTGTTGAGATACTCTTCTACGAAATAAAAAAGTGAGAACTAGGAAGGCCAATGTTGGCTTATTCTTGAAGTACTGTTGGTCTACTGATGCTGGAATATAGTGAGGAGGGGAAAATAAACATGTGCTGAATTGTTTATCTAAGTGTGTATGCTTGTGAAAAATTGGAGCTTACTAAAGAAACGTTTTATTTCGAGCAATGGTAAGAGAAACATGCAGCACTACAAATTTACCCTTAAATTATTGGGTTTTGCAAGTGCAGTTTGTGATTATTATTTTTTTTAATATAGATTTGGCTTATGCCTCTCACATATTCTTGACAAATGTTTTAAAAGTAGAGTTTTTCATATTGGTATTATTTTAAGTTTTAAATGTAAGTTTATATGTAAAAAAAAAAAATAGAGTAAAAAGTATCTAGTAGTTATGAAGAGCTGGCAGCTAGCATTCTCTGAATACTTTATAGGGTAATAAAAAAATTTAAATTTTATTTTAATAAAAAAGGATTCTAAAGAACACTGTTTGTGCAACTTCATGCTCTTATTGTAGATCTAAGAATACTGCAGTCATACATTATTCACTCCAGTTATTCATGTACTGTTTTAGTGCTTAGAAGGCTGAATGTTTGAGTCATACCAGAAGAGAGAGGAATAGACACACCCGTGTCCAGGATAAACAGACTGCTTTCACTACCTCTCTTAGATCTGACATCCTTGCAGTGTACTGCAGGCCAGCAGAAGCCACTTCTGTATTTATCTGTTTTTACTCAGTCACTTTCAGAACAAATCAGTATCTTCACGGTGTCTGTTGCCTACTACCAGGCACTGTGCAGAATGTGCATGTACGTACTGTGTAGCTCTTACGTGTTCCTTCAGGCTTTATTTCCACTGTATGCATACAGTAACCACTTTTCATCGTGCATGTCTTTGTCAATCAACTAATCTTTTTCCCCTTTTCAGCTGGCACATGCCAGTTTTAAAGATTTTGACCTTTTAAAATATCTCTGCATGAGGAGAAACTGTCACTAACTTTTGAAAAGGGAATCTTCTTCCCTACCCCCATCCTTTTGAAAGCGAAAATAAAGTTGTCTAGATCAAGTTCTTCAAGGATGAGCTTTAAAGGCAGAAATGAAACACAGAATGTTGTAGTCTAAATTGTTCAGATAAAAGCATGTAAAGCAAGGTATCAATAGGAAAATATTTTGCAGCTTTAAAAATGGCAAAGGCTGCTCAATGTTCATAGTAATTTAAATTGTACAATGAGAAGTTGTTTTGCACAGACTGGGTTGTTAACATGCATGAATTTTGGAAGGTTAAGATGCTAAGTAGATTTGTCGAAAATTAGACTTTGTCCAGGTAATGTAATTGATGGAAGTTTTACTCTATACAGTTTGAAATGCTCACTGGTACTCTACCTTTCCAAGGGAAAGACAGAAAAGAAACCATGACTATGATTCTCAAGTGAGTACACTCTTATTTATATATCTCATCAGGTATTCTACAGGGATGCCCTCCGGGCTGCAATATCTAATTTCTACTCTTCCCTCATTTCCAAAGGTACTGGTAAATCCTCACTCCCTATTCCATTCTATTAATTCCCTTTGCCACCTATCTAATTTGCCTATTCCTCCCCCATACCAGGTACAAAGAATTTCATAGCAGCTCGTTAATCTTTAATAACAACTTCTCCAACCATATGATGTCCCCATCTTATTTCCATAATATTTTTTAACTTTCTTAATCCTTTTTGATAACCTGTGCTTTTTTTCCTTGTTGCTTTTTGGTTGGTTTGGTTTGGTTTTTTGGGTTTGTTTTTGTTTTTTTGAGGAAGTATTTCCTCTCCTTATTCTTCTTTATCTTACCAGCTCCTCACCCTACTTCTTTATATTACTGGTGCTGCAAACAACTTTCTTCCCTGATATTTCCCTATTTGCTAAAGTGCATCCTTCCTTATGTACTACTCTCTTATGACTTGCCCAAGTTCCTATTTTCCCCTTTTTTATTTCCAGTGTACATTTTGCTTTAGCTAGTGTGGAAATTGCTTTCCTTTATGCAGTTAACATTGCTAAGGAAGGCCTGCTGTTTTCTTTGCTCATTCCCTACATATTCTCTGAACTAATGCAACCTGTGACATAATTGGCCCACTTTTGGGACTGTAGCCTGGCACTCTACAAACAGTTCTGCTCCCTCATGTCATAGTTTCACTTCTTTGTTTCCACCCATCTTTTACTAATACCTTTTTTTTTTTTTTCCCTTGGAAGCTCATAAGACTATTATAGTTTACTCATTTGTTTTTTGCTTCATTGTTTATCGTTGTTCCATTACCACTGTTTACCTATATTTTAAGCCCAGCATTTCTTTTGCACTAACAGCCTGTTTCAAAACGCAAATATGAAATTCTTTCATATTTTTTCTAAGTGCTTTGAAAATTTATTATTTGCCTTGTTTTGCTTTCATAACACATACATGTTATATTATTCTTTGCCCTTGTTTTTCCCTCTCATATTTGCAAACATAATTTGTGGTGCTAATTTTTTCCGCTGCCTCAACACCATGCCAATTCAAATCTTCATGTTGTAATTATTGACTGTCTTTAACTTAAAGGTTCTATCTGTTCACAGCAAGCATTAACTGCTTTGTCACTATCTAATTTGCCTTTCTATTCCTCCCCCATACCAGGTACAAAGAATTTCATAGCAGCTTGTTAATCTTTAATAACTTCTCCAACCATATGATCTTCCCAGCTTCTTTCCATAATATTTTTTAACTGCTTCTCATCACCTCATATTTACAAGAAGCTAGTCTGAGATGGTTCTCCTGCCCTCTTGCTTACTTTAGGAGCCATTCGTTTTGGTTTTTTTCCTACCTGTGTCTCATGAGTCACATCTTTCTTCTTTTCTTTGCTTGCATGTGACTCCACTCTGTTCCTCAACAATCTTTCCAGTGTGGCTACAAAAATCATCTGTATTCAGCTGCCATGTAGAATATCCCTCATTGCATCTGCCCAGTTAAATGCCATTTATAAATATTTTTAAATTTCATCTGAGCATGTATCTCTAATTCCCTTTCCAGCTTCTTTCTTTTCTCACCTTCTAGTCTTTGTAATTGCTATTAGTTTCAGAGAGCTGCACAAAAAATGTGGTATGAAGAAAAGAAATTTTAGCTGGTTTAATGTTCCATAAGCTTACAATTATTATATACATATACATGTATTTTGCTGTTGGTAATATGAACAGCTAAAAATAGAAGACATTTGAAAGTATTTTCCAATAAGCTCACATTTTTTGTCTGGCCCCGTAAGAATGGCAGTATGTTTTTGTTTTATTTTCTGTATACTAGTAAATGTACTGTATTTCTCAATTTTTTATATAACTGTTTAAAATGGACAGGTGTACATACAAATTCATATTTTCATAGTGTATCATTTAAGATATTGATTTTCTTACTGTTTCTGAAAATCTACAGAAAATGTATCCTTCTTACAACACTTTTCTCCTGGGCTCTTTATTTCTTACAATGTTACTAAGACATGTTTTTGTTCATTCTTGTGTATTCTACCTAAAACTGAAAAACCCTGCAGTTTGAAGAAATCATAGTTTGGAGCAGTAAAGTTAACTTTTTAAGGCATGTTTTCTCCTTTACTGAAGAGGTATACCTTCATATAAACTTCATGTAAAGTTTTGTCTTCATCCATCAGGAATGTCAGAAAAAGATAGCTGTCAAACATGTAATTGTATAACCAAGGAATGATCACATTTTCTTCTGCTGTGGCCAGTAAGGGCTTTTGTGAAAGGTGGAAAGGGACCAATGACAGTCTTAATTTCTGTTGTTTTTACAAGGGCCTCCAAATCACTCCACTGTGGACTTCAGTATGTACCAGTCCTCTAGAATTTCTTCTACATATTATGTTTCTGTTCATTGAGTCACTCCTCTGTAAGATTAATTACAGTTATGGTTTTGGCCTGGTTTTATATTTTTCTAAGCAGTTGACCTCTTATGCTGAACCTCCAGGGCAGCATCCTACTGTTGGAGCTGTTTTGGATTATAATAGGACAAAGATTTCCACCCATTCCAGCAAAGTCAGTCCTTCAATAACTTTGCAAATAATACCATTGTCCTTCTGCAAACAATGTGTTCCTTGCTTCCTCCTTACAGTGTAGCTCTCAGACACTGTGCTGTCAGCAGAAACTACATGAAATGAATGTGCAATGAAATTGCTGAATATAAAGGGCATGAGTAAGAATTCGGCTTCTATAGGGCCATGGCAGTTGGTGGTCATGATTTGCCTGTACTATGTTACAGATTTGCCCAAAGAAAGCAAGGTTTTTCAGGCTTCCACCCCAACCAGCCAGCTTCTTTAAGGCAGAAAAGAATGGAAAATTTCATGAAGTCTAGTTTTAAAGTAATGAATAGTGAAGCAATGGCAATGTGTATGCACTTGCTGAGGTAACAGGGAGGTGGACATCTACAAATAGCTAGAACAAAAGGCAAATCACATCTTCTGCTTGAAATGCAGAGAAAGCCTGTGTCATGAGTTGTTATGGAAAAATATACATTTCAAGTTGGATGAAAGACAGGAAGGAGGTAATTACATCCATCCTTACTGCTACCATGGTCATTTAAAAAATTGAGATGTAGTAACAGGGAGAGGATGTAGGGTCAACACTAAAGAGGGAGGAGAAAAATATTGTGAGGATTACAAAACAAATGACAGAACTAGAGAAACTTAAATTGAAAAATTCAAGACTGGCAAGTTGGAAAGTAGTGTTTGAAATAGATTGGAAGGGAGCAAAAAGAAGTAAAGAAGGGAGTGATCTTTTTTTTACCTGCTAATCTTGCAAGATCTGTCCTACTTTAATTTGTATCTTCTAGCTTAGGTTTCAAGGTGTTTTGTTTGGATATTTTTGGTGTGTCCTTGTTTGAGCTAGGTGCCAGGTTGAGCCCCACGTTGGGCACCCAGATTACCTTCCTCCCCTTATTCTATACCATATATTACATATAGGCTCTTTATTTTACTAGCTGTCAAATTAAGGATTCTCTCCCAGAGTCAGATGACTTTGAGGTACCTATTGTACTTCACCATCCTTCATCATTACACACCAAGTATGTCCAGGTCCCTGAGCAAAAGCAACACCCCAGACAGGTTTACCTTTGCCTGAAGCAGGATAGACCCAAAAAAACAGCAGGTTTCTTTCACATACCACAGGGACTTTATCCCCATCTGCAGTATCTAAAAGGTCTGACTGAGCAGGACCAGCCCGATGGCCAGGTGGCCTTTGCCGAATTTTTGTCCCAGTTTTTGAAAGTTCCTCCACCCATTGCCTTTAGGGTAGCTTTCAACAGACCATTGTACCTTCCAGCTTTCCCTGAGGCTTGTGCAGCAGTGGTGGAAGCAGCAGCAATAGTGGCAGCACCATTGCCTGTGGGGGATTGGCAGTGAGTGGAGCAACACCTCACCCTACATATCCACAATACATTATAAACATTCAGCAGAAGCATCCCCACTGCAACAATGCCATTCAGATCAAGAGCTGGGAGATTCAGCTTGAAAGAAAGTGGAGAGGTAAAATTGAACCTGATACTTGCATTACCAACATGGACTGTTCCGTTCACTTTAGGATGTGTACTGTAACTGTACACATACAGTATCCCCATAAAGAACAGTATCATAACCCCTAGGATCACTAGGCTGGTGATTAGATGGTTGATTATGGCTACAGCTCTGTGGATAAACCATGGAACAATGACAAGAGCAGCTACACAGAGCAGTATGCTCTTGGCTGCATACCACATGTACATTGCATGTTTGGAAAAAGGTCCAGTAGATTCATTGCAGAAAGTGTCTGTTAAGTTTTCAGTCTGTCAGGAAATGCAGCAGAACTGTTGCCCATTGCTGTCTGAGGGATTTCTCCCATCAGAGATGGAATTTTGAATGCTCGCAATTAGTGAAAATTTATAATCTGGGCTTAAAATCAAGCCCCACATTGGGCGCAAAAAAATTGTTGTCACCATTTGACTCAGGTTCAACAACAACACTCTCAATCCCCTCCCCCTCCCACCCAGGTAGGGAAGGAAAGATGGAATCCTCCCTGGATGCCAGCCATGGACAGAAGAGAAGGGAAGAAGAAGCAGGAAGGAAGTTGTCTCCTGTGACCCCTGACCTTCCTCTGAGCTTTTGTAGATACATGGGATGGAATATCTCTGGCCAGTTTTGCTGTCTAATTCAGCTTCCTATGGGAGGGGTTATGGATCTCCCCATAGTGTCTGAGCTGGCAGTGTAAAGATGTGACCTTGAAGACCCAGCAGTTAGAAAAACATTCCAGCTGTTATCAGCCCAAGCTGGGACACTTTGCTACTAGTTCATAGAATCATAGAATCTTAGGGGCTGGAAGGGACCTCGAGAGATCATCTAGTCCAACCCCCCTGCCAGAGCAGGGTCACCTAGAGTACATCACACAGGAACTCATCCAGGTGGGTTTTGAATGTCTCCAGTGAGGGAGACTCCACAACCTCCCTGGGCAGCCTGTTCCAGTGCTCTGTCACTCTTACAGTAAAAAAATTTTTTCGGATATTCACATTGAACCTCCTATGCTCCAATTTACACCCATTACCCCTTGTCCTATCACTGGTCATCACTGAGAAAAGCCTAACTCCGTCCCCCTGACACTCACCCCTTACATATTTGTAAACACTGATGAGGTCACCCCTCAGTCTCCTTTTCTCCAAGCTAAAGAGACCCAGCTCCCTCAGCCTTTCCTCGTAAGGGAGATGTTCCACTCCCTTAATCATCTTCGTAGCTCTGCGCTGGACTCTTTCGAGCAGTTCCCTGTCCTTCTTGAACTGAGGGGCCCAGAACTGGACACAATACTCCAGATGCAGCCTCACCAATGCAGAATAGAGGGGGAGGAGAACCTCTCTTGACCTACTAACCACAGTTAAAAGAAAGCTTAATGAAGGAAAAAAGTCTTGGCTCAAACCAGGACATTGTCATACTGCGGTGGTTTCCTTAACCCTTCTAAATTGTCTTTTATCTTTCCATCAAAATGGATTTGCTTATTTGGTGTAATTTGATAATAACTGGACTTAAAAGTGGATCAAAACATATTACAAAAATTTACACATCTGTAAAATGTTATTCTATAACTATTCTTGTCTACGTTTTCCATCACCTCTTCTTCTACTTAAGTTCTGAGTCTGAAAATATACTACTCAAAACAGAAGAAAGAAATAGAATTTCCAGGTTTACATGACTGACAGCACTTTTGGTCTATTTCTGATGTCTGAAGACAATTTCTCAGTGATGTTGTTTTGCTTTATATGGCATTGTTGAATGACAAAGGAAAAGGGGAATGCAAAGTTAAGTCTTTCCTAAATATGTTTGTATGCTATTAATTATTTTTATTCTATAGGGCCAAACTTGGAATGCCCCAGTTCTTGAGTCCTGAAGCACAGAGTCTTCTACGAATGCTCTTCAAAAGAAATCCAGCAAACAGATTAGGTAAAGAGTTTAGTGGAATGTTTTAAATGATCATTAAACTGACTAAATAAAATTACAATTTCTTGTGTAAAACAAGCTTTGAAGAAAGGACATAATTTGCATGTTTGCTTTTCTAATGATCAATAAAATACAATTTCTGCTATTCATACGTCTAAAATTAGTGCAAAAATATAACTTTACTAGTCATTCTTTTGTCCAAGAAGGAGATAATTCACACATTTTTCTTCCTTATAAAAGGAGCAGGTCCAGATGGAGTTGAAGAAATTAAGAGGCATGCATTCTTTTCTAAAATAGATTGGAATGTGAGTAATTCAAAATTAATTCAGTAATTTTCTTAGTAGTTTGGTGGTATTGTTTAACTTTTTAATTCACTCTGGCCTATGCCTTCTCTTCAGAAATTGTACAGAAGAGAAATTCACCCCCCTTTTAAACCTGCAACTGGTAGACCTGAAGATACATTTTATTTTGACCCTGAATTTACAGCAAAAACTCCAAAAGGTAAAAACAGTAGAATAAACTTACATATTCAACAATTGGAAACATTGTTCCTGTTCAGCTGATGTAAAATGTCTTGTTCTTCCAGGTGTTGCTGCACTAAATGCTTACAGGCAAATATTCATTAACGTTCCTAAAAATTTTTATGATCTTCATTGTAAATGTTTCATAAGGAACAACTGACTTGTCCTGTGTAAAAATACAGTCATTCTCAGCAACAAAACATATATATAGTTCAATTTTATTTAAGTAATCTCATCCTTTAATTAAAAAATATAGTGTCTTTTTAAAAGCTTCTATGGTTTCATTTAATTAATCATGATGACTCTATATACTATGTGTATGTAGAAACTTAGCTATTTCAGGTGCCACTTTAGGTGGCAAAGTTGATGTTTCAGTGCAATCTGACTCTGCATAGTTTTACACCAATCCATTCAAAATAAAATTTTGTCTTTTTTTACAAATTGGAGTACTTATCCTCCGTAAATATAACATGGATATGCTACTATATGCAAATGTGTTCTGCAAAGTACTTTTGGTTTTGTATAATATAACATTGCCTGACAGTAACATGATCTTTGTAGTCCTTGATTGTCAGTCGTGTTTCTGGATGGTGTATGCAAAACAGTTCAGTAATTATTGGTCCTTACACATTTTCTGCAAATTCTGTGTCCTATATAGAATAAAGCTGTAGTTTGCTCTTCAGAGTAGACATAATATCACCTCTACATTTTAGAAACTCAGCTTGTAAGCAGATGACATGTTTTTCAGATTCACCTGGTATCCCTCCAAGTGCTAATGCACATCAACTTTTTCGGGGATTTAGTTTCGTAGCTATTGCATCAGATGATGAAAGCCAAGCAATGCAGACAGTTGGAGTACATTCAATTGTCCAGGTGAGTACACCCACTTTTTAAAAAAGTCGGTAGAGCAGTATTGCTGTTTCTTGGTGGAGGGATTGTTTCCTTCATGATTTAATGAAGTACCATGCATGACAAAGTCATTATCTGTTTTATACAAGAAAAGTGTAAAGAACAGATTATTTTATCATAATAAAACAAAACATCTGAAAGTGCAGGACCTGTTTCATTACTGAGCAGCCATAAGTGTGAATAGGCTTCAACCCTTAAATCAAAACTTTCTACCATCTGTACTGTAGTAACTCTTTAATATCAAGCCACAATAAGAAGCTGGAGAGGAATAATAGACATCTTGATCTTTTTCCCCTATACATGAGAATATTGGTAGATTCCTATAGTGCAGTAGAAGGCACTGGAGTGTAATTGTGAATTTTTGTCTGGATCTTTTGGACTGCTCTGCACTTTGGAACCTGTGATATATTCCATCCCTCCCAAGCCACTTTAAGTTATTGTGTTAATCTGTGATATTTTGTGACTAATGTCCTAGTATCGTAGTAGTTAGTGTTAACAGTAGTTCTATGCTCCTTTGCCACATAGTTTTGTGGATTAAATTTTTCTTTTGTATATGGTTTCCTTCTCTTGCAAAAGTCTGTTTCTCTGCTGCCTTTCCTGCATCCCTCTCCACTGCTTCCTCACTCCTATTTCCTCTTTTCAGTGCTGCAGGACACCCAGATGGTTTCCTGCAAATGCTTTGCATCCTTTGCACAAACTCTTCATACTAGAATGCCATTTCCTTCCCTTGCAAGTGAACACTTGTCCTTCTTTCAGCTTTTCATTTCTATGAAAGGATTTCTGACTACCATTCCATGCTATTTCCAGTTAATCTGATTCTATTTGGTATGTCTGTGTTTTCCAGCTGACATTCATCTATTCAGACAATAGAAAGAGTGATGCTTTTCTACCAATACTTTATCACATAGTCTTCTGACCATCTTTGTTTTGGAAAGTCTCTCATTGAGCTAATATATCAGTAACCAGAAATGTCATGTTGTCAGTTTCTAAAATACAGTGTGCATTATTTATGGTGTATCTAATATAGAATTTAGCCCATACTAATATCAAACAGAAAGTAGTGGCTATTTAGACCACTTTCACCTGGTAAATCTATCAGTTCAAAATGTGAAGTAAATCAGTAGGAATTCAAATGCTAATTCTTAATATAAAGGTCAGTTATATTTAGAATATTCATTAATTGATAGTGTCATTTTGGCAGCAGTTGCACAGGAACAGCATTCAGTTCACTGATGGATATGAAGTAAAGGAAGATATAGGAGTTGGATCTTACTCTATCTGCAAAAGATGTATTCATAAAGCTTCAAACATGGAATATGCTGTAAAGGTAATTACTTTTCTTATAAAACACACCAACTCTTTTCAGGTTTTAGCATCATAGAGCTTGGACATTGATATTTGCCATAAAAAGTGTAGGACATTGAGATAAATGTTTAGTATAAAAAGATTTTACATGCAGATCTGGATTATACTAATCAACCAAATGGAATATTTACTGGTAGATATTTATATTGAATTGCTATGGTTTTTGTTTTTCTGCTGTTTTGGGTGATGAAAAGTAATCTTCAGCCTTTAAAACACCTCTGTAGTTAAAGTAAAACTGATGGGAGTTATATGACTGCTTCTGGCAGGAAATGCACTTTGAAAAACTTACATGACTTTCCATCATTATTTTAAAATGTGACTGATTACTTTTATTTAGTCATAGTTATAAACGAGGATTTTTGCTTCCAAAGTAGATCCATAAATTGTCAGATAGCTAGGAGCCCCTAAAAGTGCTTAAGTCTGGTGTAATTTCCATGATAAACTTCAACTCTTTGTCTTGGCTTTCTAGTTTTAACAAGGTTTGTAATGTGCTTTTTATGTTATTCCATATGTTATTCTAGCATTTCTTTGAAGGCATTAAATTCTTAGTTGAAATCAGCAGAATTCCCAGAAGTGGAATGATAAGTTTATCTTTTTGTCTTTCTGTATAACACTGTGGAACTGAATGGTTACTCTGGAAGAAGGAGTATAGATTAGCAGACTTTAAAAGCGGGGGGGGGGAAATATTTTAATCCTGTACTGTGAGGCAGTTCTCTGTTTGAATTGTTGAATAGTTTAATACTCAAATACATAAAATGTGAAGATAACTTATGTTTTCCTCTATCATTGTACACAGATTGTCTACTGGAAACCCTCCAGTTTCAATTTGGTAGTTACATACTTATCATTATTCTAGTTCTGGCCAGGAACAGATTTCATTCTGTGATTGAAATTTGAATTAATTTCTTGAAACTGGAAGAAAGTACTGGCATAGCTGTTAATTCTCTAACATTTATTGTCAAGATTGCCTCACTTTTCTGCTGCCTGTTGTGGCTTTTTGTCCTCAAGGAATCATGTATCAGTGTCCAATGTGTTAGCATAGAGCTAGTAGCAGTGAGGACTTTAGGATATCAAGAGGAAGAAAGGTAAGACAAAGATGGAGAAGGCATCAGAGGAAATTCCACAGTTCAGAAGCGGAGGAAAAAATTGAGAATAAGAATACATTTTAAATAGGGAAAAATAATGTTTTGTTTGTTTGCACAAGAACTTCAGAGCCTGATAGCAAGCCTCCAGATATTCAAATGAATTTTCATAATGGAATGCTTGTCTGAATTAATGCTGAGATATTTTTTCCTTCCTTTTTTATTCCCTTACTCTCCTGCTATGTCTTTTGCTGCACTAAATATTTGTTTGAGATGAGCTTTGTTACAGTCAGTAAATTAGCATCATTAAGCCAGTATCTCGCATCAGATTAGGAACTTTCTGTGACTAAATGGTGGGTGACTGAAGTCTTATCTACAGTCTTGCACTATTTATCACAGCCTGAGGGATCTGATCACTTATCCTCCAGAATTGTTTTCAACTGAGAGATTTTTTCAAATATTTTTTGCTTTGCCTTGCAATTCCAGTTTAATAAACTTTGGTTTGGTTATAATTCGTGCCCTTTACCAACAACAATGAACACTGCTTAGCACACCAAAGTGTAATGGAACATAATATACACAAAAATAACTATGCCTATTTGTCTGTTTGCTCTTGTAGATCATTGACAAGAGTAAAAGAGATCCAACAGAGGAGATAGAAATCCTACTGCGCTATGGGCAGCATCCAAATATTATTACCTTAAAAGATGTAAGTAGAAAGTTAAAGACATCCTTAAACGCATTGTAATTGCAAATGACTTTCTAATTTCAGAGATGACAAACTGCATATTTTAGATTTATGTTACTCTTTCTCAGTATTTAGTAATAAAACAATGTCTTAATGCTATTTATTCAACAATATCATTTTTTTTACTGAGATGTCTTATTGTCATCTTTTAAATATGCTCGTATTTTGGTACAACATAATCCTAAGCAGTCAAATAATTTTCCTAGCACAGGAATATTTAATTTAATGTTGGCTGTATTTTCAAAGGAAAAAGCAAGAGTTTTGGTTGGTCAATCCATTTTGAATCTACTTTTGTTTACATTAGTCAAAAGCAATTTAAAAATGTGTTATTATGTAACTGAGGACTCACTGTTTGGGAAGGCACAATACTTAAAGTAATTTTCATGAACAGTAGTGAGTGTTCCTTGGTAGCAGACAATCTTTTCATATCCGTGGTTGTCACTTTTCTTTACCTAGTGTCTTTTTGTGGTCTTTGTATGGAAGATTATCTAGCTTTTTTTTAATTGTCATATTTTCTGACCACGGAAACACATTTTGACCATAAAAAGCAAAGAAAAACTTAAGTTGGGAGGCAGAGGTTTTTCATAGAGAACAGCAGATTCTGATGAGCTAACAGAAAAAGAAAATTGCATTTCCCTCCTTGATGATGCATTAAAGAGGACTAAAAATTAAAAACTATATGCATGATTATTTTCTTAGTCTGCTAGAAAGTATTCTGGTCCCCAGAACCAAGTCTCAAGCAAAACAGCTCACCATTTTCAGGAAACTGAACTCAGCTAAAGGGAGAGTCTCAAACATTTTATTTTATTGAAACAGAAGCTCATAATTGCTGTGGAGATGAGTACTAGACAGCTCTACATAAAGGACATTTACTATAATCTGTCTTCGCTTTATCAGTATCATGTAGTTTCGCCCTTTCTTGGGAGAATGAAATGGGTTTCCACCATGAAGTTTACCTTCTTGCAAGCTAGACACCGTAATTATAGTCCCACTTTCTGTTTGTTCTGCTTTGTGATTGGACAATAAAGCTACCTGAAGCCAACTGTGCTAACAGAACCTGCATCAGGATTCAGGTTGCTTTTAGTACTACATGCTAGGTTTATGTGTTCTTCTTAATTCATAGTAGAGGTTATATAATTTGAGCAGGAAGACAGACGTAAGGAATGTGAGTACTTACTTGAGCTTAAGCATTATGAGTATTTGTCACGGAGAGCAGGGAAACCCAGGCAGCTCAGAAAAGCTGTCCTAATATAGATGCATGGGGCAAATTATTTGCCTAGCCCACAATGTAGTGGTATGCTATTACGGCTTTCAGAGGAAAGAATAAGGAGTACGTGGCCTTCAGACCTGAAACTCATCCAGAGCACCATGTATTATTATACAAATAAAATTCAGTGTTGATTTGTCTCAATTTTTCGTTCCATTCTACACTAACATTTATATGTTTCTATTTTTAAATGCCAAAATAAAATGTTTCTGCATTAAGTCTTTGTAGATTATTATTCTCAACAAAAATTTTATTTATTGTATTTCAAGAATAAATGCAGTAGTATTTGGATTTAACTTAAGATGGAAGTTTTCATTCTTGCTCAGCCTTTTTGATATAATTTGTGAGCCTTTTTTATATCATTTAATTGTGAAGGTGTTTGGATTGAAACAATGGATATTCAAAAGACCAAATTCTTTCTGAGGTACACAGTCCTCTAGGGTTTTTCCTTCTGATTGTTATCAGTGGTCTTTTTAAGTTACACAGTATGTAAACAAAAGAAGGAGCTATATTGTGCTAAATCAGATGTCCTTTTATCCAATATCCTGCCTCTGACAGAGGCCATTAGTGGATGCCTAGGAAACAGTGTAAAAACAGAGGAAGCACACTGCTTCCAACAAACCATTACCTAGAAGCTTCCTGTGCGAGACCATTATATGTATTTCACCATTTTTTACCTATTAGTTACTGTCCTGTAGCAGAACTTTTGTCCTGTTTTGAGTTATTTAAAGCATTGGCGGAAAAATCTTTTCACAAGAGTTTTAGATGGCTGAATACAGTACATTCAGTCTCCCTGTTCAAGTGTATTTACGAGTTAAATAAAACTCCTAATATGTATGTAAAATCTTATTTCACTTTGCAAAAAACCTGTTCTCTTTCTCCATTACATTTTGTTCTTGTGCCTACTTCTGTGCCTCACTGTAGTTTTTCTTTCCAATTTGCCTGGTAGAGAAGACACTGACTGATCTTTGATGTGTCCCAGGAGTTAATTTTAAAACCTAGCATCATATTTATGATGTCAGCATAATATTGTGCACCTGACTGTGAAGATAACTTCAACAGTGTATATTCAGTACAAACAACTAAGTTGGTAATACAGTAGAGTGAGAAGAATAGTTTGCTTAGCACAGCTGGAATTTTTGGGTTGGTTGGTTGGGTTTTTTTGGCAGGCAGACAGAACCAGCAAGGGGTAATGAATTAGTAGTAGTAACCAAAATGTTTCACCATCCCCTTGCAATACCGAGATGTGTGCTTCATTGTATCAAATGAAATAAACTTAGTCCCTCATGATATCCAGGATTAGAGGGAGCATGCCTATTAAAAGAAAATATTCAAAGTGTAAATTTAGGATCTAGAACCTTACGTTTTTTAATTCTGTATAATATTTAAATTCTTAATTCAAAGACATTCAGATGATCAATCATGTATATTTAAGGGGGGAAACATTGCTGTTAAATAAGAACATAAGACCTATCCTTTTTTCCTCTCCTTAAGATCATAAGCTTGTAAAGCCTGCAAAATTGTTTCTTTAGAACTCTTCCTCTTTATTTGGTGAGAAAATATTCTTTTTCATTTACAGTTAAGAGCACAAATATTTCTAAGCTTAGAACTTCAGTATTTCCCAGGTAGTTTAAGACAAGATCAGGTTTAAAACTATTTTTAATTTAGCTCATATGTATTCCTAAATTTATTTTATTACAACTTGGATAATCTTTTCTACTACAAAGTAGTTTTTATTTCATGTATTTCAAGAGAAATATCCCAACATCACTATAAAAATAGGTTGACATAAAAATACAGAACAGAGTCTGTAAAGCAGGAACGACTTTCTGGATAAATTTAAAACCCCAAGAAAGTGGAACTGAAATTAAATGCTTAAATATACTGTAAAACGTGGTGTGGTTCAATCTCTAGTGCCCCCTGCTGATGATATTAAGTAGTTCTTGACTGTTTATCTAGAAGGTAAAAGCCATGCAAAAATCAAGCCATATTCCATAACTGGAAGTAAGGGCTAAAGTACACAGGCTTTATTCATTTTAGACTTTGGCATAGGCTTTGTGTGCAGAGTAATGTATAAGTTGTAGGCTTTTATTAAAACAGCTTTGTATGCATTAACTTCGGTGCTTACAGAGACAATTGGAGGTGAACTTAGATTTTGGGTTTTTTATCTGACTCTTCAGTTGGAATGACCTCTGTTATTTGTAATTTGATGCAATAGTTGCTTCTAGAATTAGCTCTGGTTTGGCCTTAGACTAGTTTACACTTACCACTACTTAATAATTTCTCCCATGTCTAGTTTAATTTGTTTCAATAAAACCATGTGGGGAAAAACTACATGTTATTTATCCTTCTTTGTCTTTAAACATTTACATTCCAGTATTTCTGTGTTCTTTCATTACAGTACAGTCTTTTTGTGGAAGATGTTGTGTTCATTCTGACAATGAGCAATATTTGGGTAGTGTGGGGGGTGAGAAGTATGAGGAAAATAATTGAAGAAAACAGCTGGTTGGATACATCTGCACTATCACTGTACATTTCACAGGAAGATAAGCAGATAATCAATATTTTGAAGTTTATATCTTTCTGTACCTTTTGCAGGTGTATGATGATGGAAAATACGTATATGTAGTAACAGAACTTATGAAAGGAGGAGAACTGCTGGATAAAATTCTTAGACAAAAGTTTTTCTCAGAACGAGAAGCTAGTGCTGTTCTGTTCACAATAACAAAAACAGTTGAATATCTCCATGCGCAAGGGGTAAGTTTTCATCTCAGACAAAATGCATATAGAAGTTAATATTATTCTATTTCAGAAGTACAAAATCATATCTTGATATGCTCTTCTTTGATGTAATGAAGTAATTTTTGGTAAATAATTAAATCACAGCAGGATTTTGTGCTGAAATCAAAGCATTCCTAATCAGATGTATAGATATCCAGATAACAGAGATGATGCAACTGTTTCTCTTGTTCTATGTACAGTCTGACAGTGGTTCTGTGGAATGTGCAGGTAATGACTAATAGATAGGATTTAAGAGGAAGTAAGCCAAGGAGAAGTGCTAGGACTAGTGCTGTTGCTTAGCCATGGGATCTAATGTAATTCCAACCCCATCCTGTGATGAACCCTGAAAACTGAATATTTTCCACCTATAACTGTTGTAAGTTCTTCCACTTCTTGGCTTTGAAGAACGTGGTTTATGATTTGTAACTCCTGCACCACAGGATCAGGAAGTTGTAGTGGACTGTTAGTAGAAAGAAAATCAATGCTTCAGGAAATTCATTTGGAGACAGGAAGCAAAGCAAGTAGTTCAAAGATAGAGAAGGCAAATCCGACAATTGCATGGCAAGAATGACAAGTCATGTTGCGTTTGTAAGTAAACGAGAGAAAGGAGATAGAGAAGCAGAAAGGAAGGGTAGAAGTAAAAAGTGCTAACACCTGCTAACACCTAATTATGCAAGAAGAGATATTTTGGAATGGTTAATACTCAAATTATTTTAAGAAACAAATAACAATTCAGCATTCGCTGTCATTTCTGGAAGCTATTATTTCAGAAAACTTACGATAAAAGTTACCTGGTGTATCTTATTCTGTGGTTCAAGGCTTGCTTCAATCACCTGCTCATGTGTGGGTTTTTATTTGAGCCTGCATGCACAGGAGTAGAATCCTTGGCGGGCAGCATCCATGGAAAGTATGAATAAACCATGATACCTTCTCTATGGGGAAATATAAATAATAGAATAACACAAATCATAACTTAGTTCATTCTTACCACCTGTGGCCAAAAAAGGATCAGTGTCCTTGCAAAAAGTAAGGGACTTTAAGGGCTTCTGTTTGTTTATTTGCTCTAGATCTTTGTAAATATTGGCATTTTAACTTGCATTAGACCACATGCTCTTTGGAACTTCTACTTTTGGAATTTTTCAAGTCTTACGTTAAGTACACTTCTACATGAAAGATTGCCATGTATGTAAATAGTGAGTACTTCAGTCATCTAATTTTTGTCTGGAAAAGTCCCCCCCCATGTCTTCAGTGGATTTTCCTTTCGTAGCTCCTTTGGACACCAGAGGAGCTCATTTTAATATGCTATTGGGTAATACCTGGTTTGACAGATTCTGTGTGCAGCCACCATAATCCATCCCAGAAGCAGTTTCCTCATTGACATTTCTAGGATTCTTTTGAACTGAAAAATTAGCTAAGCAAGGACTTCAATCTTTCTCTTCAGAGTAAGGAATACTTCCAGCTCTCCCCCAAACAAATATACAAGTGTTAGTGCAAGCATACCACAGTTAAAGGTTGGCACAATAGACATCATAAAAGGATAAACAAGAAATATCATGTAATCTTGGAGCAGAATACTTCTCCATGCTGGTAGATAATTGAGAGTGCTGATCAGAAGCATGATGCTAAGAAAGAACTGAAAAACCCTGCATATTGTTTTGCTCTCTTCTCTTGCTCTTAAACAAAATGTTTCTTTTCTGTGCAAAATATATCAATGTAATCTAAAAGATCTGACATCTTTTTAAAATTTACCTTTGGGAAAGCAGCTTAATATGGGAAGGTATTTATTCTGTGAAATTAACAGTTTGATTGTTTAGGAATTAGCATTTGGATTTGAACTAAAACTGTTAACATTTGCTCTTCCTCCCACTTGAGAATTGCTACCCCTTCTTCCAAAAAAAACAAAACTCAAGTGGACTGGTTCTAGAAAGTCTGTCACATCCCCACCTTTGTGCTGTTTTCATTGCCCTTCTCTGATGACAAAGACTGTCCTTTTGCATTCCAGGTTTTATTAAGACTTGTTTATAACACAGCTTCAAATAAGATCAGATTAATTCTGCCAGAATTTAGGTGACTTCTACAGTTTTTGTCAAACATTTGATATCTTCAAAACAGACACTCAGGAACCAGGATAGGCTTTTTTCAACATGCTAGTCCATTAGAAGAAGGCCTTTTTGATATCTGATTATTTTTTTGGCATAGGTGTATTCAAATTCTTCCTTCATCATGCCTTAAATGTTTGCACTGAGATTAATTCAGATTATCTGAATGAAAATAATGGAATATTGAGGGTTATTCCAGCAGCAACTAGTGCATGATCACATAAGCACATCATGAGCTATGGACATCTGTGACTCCAAAAGATATTATTTGCCAAAGGTTCTTCTTTAAAGAGCTTTGTAGGTATCCATGTTACAATAGAAAATACATATATTCACCCATTAGAAAGAGGCATCTGAAACTGTGTACAAAAATATTTAGGGGGATGTCTGAAGGGGGCTTTATACTTTAGAATTTCCAGGTTAGAATTGTAGTACTCTAGACACCACTGAGCATCAGAATACTCCAGCTGTTAGAAGCTGGAAATCTGGAAGCTGATGGGAGATTCGAAATCAAGTAGCAGAATTTATCATTATAATATAAAGGCTTATTGTATTTGGTGGTTTGTTTTATGTTTTTAGGTTGTCCATAGAGACCTGAAGCCTAGCAATATTCTGTATGTTGATGAATCTGGTAATCCAGAGTCAATTCGAATTTGTGATTTTGGTTTTGCAAAACAGCTACGAGCAGAAAATGGTCTTCTGATGACTCCATGTTACACGGCAAATTTCGTTGCACCAGAGGTAAATATTAGGATAGCTTGTATACCCTTACTTATTTAGATGGCACTTTTTTGCTAGTTAGATATTTGTTTCATTCCTGTGCAACAAGTGAAATGACTTTGTAAACACTAAGGATTTGAAATCTCACTATTTTTATGGCTTAAAGGATTTCTAGACACTTCTTTCTTTTTTCCTTTTTTTTTCTTTTTCCTTTTTTTTTCAAAAAAAGTGTTTGTCTCCCTCAGGTTTTAAAGAGGCAAGGTTATGATGCTGCATGTGACATATGGAGCCTTGGTGTTCTACTTTATACCATGCTTACTGGGTAAGGGTAAATTTAGTTTGCTTTGCTGTAGAATAACAAACCAATATGAACAAAAAGAATAATAAATGCAGGCCCACTGTTGAAGATGCTTCTGTTGAGACACTGTTTAATCTCAACTTTGGCTTCAGTGGGGGTAGAATATGCTTTGGCTTTAGTAGAATCAAATTTTGCGGGGACTAATGTGAAAAATACTTGTTTTTTTCATGTCTCATCTATTTTAGGTGTTTCATTTCTGCTTTTTGGTGATTTAGGGCAACAATTGTTTGTTTGATGTGAAAATTAGCTGATTAAGCAAATATGTTGAAGGAAATATATGTTCCACATACAGTTGCAATGCATTAAGCATCATGGTGTGCAAAATTCAGCCACTGGATAGTCTGAAGTGATGCAGTTAGGATATAATAAATGCAACATAAATTAATTGTATAAAAGATTAATAAGTTCAACTATTGTACCATAAGTTCAAGTTATTTGCTATTGCACCTGTCAAATAGATTATCTTTTTCTGCTGGTTTATTCAGATGTCTCTTTTGTTAAGTGTTAACATAATTGGAGTAATTTTTTGCATTTTAAAATGAGTGACAAACATATTTGGTTTTAGGTATATCTCTTTTGGTTGTGGATATTCTGGTAGCAGCAAAAATGCTTGTAGTAAAGCAAGGAAAAACTGCTGCACCTTCGTCCTTCTAGTATCAAATCAGCAGTTACTCTTTTTCTGTCTCAGCATCAAATCTTTGCAATTAATTTGTAACAGCTTGTTTTATTATAACACTAAAATATGAAGGCTTAAGGAATACTTTCAGTAGTTCAGGATCCATTAATGCTTAGACTGTTATAGGAAACACCTGGTTTTCAGACCCAAAATAGAGGGAACGCCTACAGTAAGAACAGATACATAGTCTACAGTGCTGTGCATTTTCAGGTGTTGAGAATAATTTTGGGTTTTACAGCTGTTGGAATCTTTGTTGCATATAGTGTGTTGAACTCTCTGAATATTATGATCAGATTTATAGCAGCTAATGTGTCCAGATGATGGAAGTTATTAACACTGAAATTGTTTGGTTAAATAGCTACACTCCTTTTGCAAATGGCCCTGATGATACCCCGGAGGAGATTTTGGCCCGAATAGGTAGTGGAAAGTTCTCTCTCAGCGGAGGTTATTGGAATACTGTTTCAGAAACAGCTAAGGCAAGTAGATTTGCTTTGTCCTCTGGGGAATAAGAAAACTATTGCAATGTAACATGTTACTTACAATGTATATGTTCTATGATATTCATACGTTATATGATATATGGCTGGGTAAGTTCCACCCATTGTTATTTTAAAATACTGATCTGATCCTTTATGTGCCTAGAAGTTTGTTTCCTGTTTATGATCTTTTCAAGTTTCAACAGTCACTTGCACTTAGGAAGAAAAACAAATGTGCCTTATACTGTAGTCATGAACAAGTGGCCTTAGAAATTTAATTAGTATTCACAGGCATGCAGAGTCATTCATGATGAGAAATGCTGGGATAAAACTTCATGTGAAAGCATGACATTCAAAAATAAGTCTAAATCAGGATAATGAAAATGTTACAAGAATTACCATACATCCCACTGATTCAAGCTAGAAAAATTAATAATTTTTCACATTTTTAGGCTTGAGTTAGTTCTTCAGTTACCTAGGACAGTTTATTTCATACTCTCTCATTAGGATCTGAGCAGTTTTTTTTCTTTTAGACAATGCAATTATTTTAGAACTTGAAACTCAAGTGTGCAATATCCTTTATGCCCCTTTTATGTAGCTATTGTAAACCACTATAGGATTCCCAAAAAATCATTTATGTGTGTTGTGCTCTTTCATGCTAATTGTTTTGTGAGGTGTGTTCTAATGTACTGTTCTCATAAAGGAAGCATTTTCCCACAAGTCATATCATTCAACTGAAAAATCAACCTGTTAGAATAACATGTTTACACTCATCAGGTAGCAGCTTTTTCTCCCTTTAGTGACATTCTGTTCAGTTGTACTCAGGAGTCTAGAATGAAATAAAAACCTATCATCTAGGAGAAAAAAAAAATCTTATATTTCTTTTTAATATTTTTCTGTTCAAATTATTTAATTACAAAACAAGTCATGTTTTATATGGAAATATCCAGTATTGCTAATGTAACTTAAATTATCTTAAATCCAGTTGTAGCCAACTGAATGTGTTTCTCCACAGCTTAATGTAGAAATGTTTTTTATGCTTGACCCTTACTGGCTGACATCTAAAGTCATCTATAAAATATTACACTGCTGTATAAATTTGTTTTCAGCATCTTGAGTGCTGTCTGCAATTCTCATTACCAGAATTTGAAAAATATAAAAGAGAAGTTGAAAAGATGATTGAACAGGATGTACTAAAATAAAGGCAAAAATCTTCTCACATGTCAAGAGCTACTTCTATTTTTTTTAAAAAGAGTAAATAGAATACGGTGTTTCATCTCAGCTGAGTTGACTGACATGATGGACAAAAGAGATCATTTCACTGATACAAAGAAGGAGAGATTGGTTCCTCTTTTCTCATATGATGATTTTATTAGGAAAATTAGGGATCATTAATACATTATGCAGAAATTAAAAACCAAACAGAACTGTGAAACAACTGTGGCTTATGCTTGAGAAGAGGGTTGACAGCAAAAATACAAGCAGTAAAATTAGTTCAGAGGGGGATGAGATGAAAATCACTAAGGGATGCTTATTGCCAGCAGGAGTACTAAAATTCAATCTAACTTTCACAGTTGTTGAAAGATTGTTAGACACTGGGGAAGACATTCAAAGGAAAATACTATTTTCTCAGTTGTTCCTTTTTCAATACAAATTTCCTACGTATCTGCTATTTGTCATCATTTAAAAAAAAATACTGGTATAGTGGGGCCTCTAGCCCAATGTGCATATTTTTGTGTATTTTGCCTCACTTAATTGGATACTTACCTGTTGTGTTACCAAACATCCATTAAGCCACATAATTAAAAGGTATAGTGTTAGCATTTCTAGGAAGCTTTTCAGCTGTTTCAAACTGACACTATGGGCAAATTTTTATATGAGTAAAATCTTCAGTTTTGAACAATAATATTTTCTAAAGCTGGAGTTTTTCCTGTTATTTGCATTGACTCTTTGTATATTATTGGCAGGATCTTGTTTCAAAAATGCTTCATGTTGATCCACATCAAAGATTAACTGCAGCCCAAGTTCTTAGTCACCCCTGGATAGTTCACTGTGACCAGTTGCCTCAATACCAGCTGAACAGGCAGGATGCTCCCCATTTAGTGAAGGTAAGTAGATATTTGTTAATGCTGTTTAGCCAAAACTAGTGTAAACAAAAGGATTATTTTTTTTTAAGTTACTGTTTCCTCTAAATACTATTTAAATGACTAGGAGTCATACTAAGCTATAAAGTGAACTTGTAGTATGTAGTAGGATTTCATAAGAACCCACTCACAGAGAATAAATCTAATACAGTTGAAGAAGACATTTTCTTACGTTTGAAATTTATTGGACCTAGCCTAGAGGCTTAACTTTCTGTAAAAAATGGCATAGAATAAATATTCTTCTGATTGCGAAAATGTTGTCAGGTGGCTTTAGGGAAGCTGAAAATAGTTTAGCTTATTTTCCAGTTTCAGAGGAGGTTAATCATAAGTGACTAAAAGAAAGCAGTATACTTCATGATCACCATCTAAGCTATAAAGAAGTCCAAAAGGCAGTGTTTATTAATATGGTATCATTACTGTTCTTCATTCGGTCCGAAACACGATCAAGTTTTGACCCTGAAACTTTTTCACTTTGAACAAGTAGAAGGAAATCAGAAATAATTTAATTCTACTTCTCTGTATTCCACCCTACCTTCAATCCTACATCTAAGAATCACTGTTATGCAACATGAAAGGGTTCTGAGGAATATAACTCGGAGTCAGATACTAGAAATTTCCAGCATCCAAGAATACAAGTGGGAAGAGGGGCAAGTTCTGATCCCACAGCTCATAACTTTCTAACATTTCTTGTAAATAAATCTTCATGTGCTGAATAATGTGGGAGATTTTAAAATATTTTGTTGAAAAAGGAAATTATTATATAAGTGAAAAGCAGAGACAGCCCACCGATGGGGTTTCACTCCCCAAATAACTTAATCTAGCAATCTGGGTTTATTTTTTAAGCAAGGTAAAATGGCTTTACATTGATCTGAAAACTGGTTACCTTAAAAAATACTTCCTCCTAACACTGTTGGCATTGCAGCGATGCAGCTGTATGTTTCTGTTTTGTAGATGCAAGTAAACTGGAACTTAAAGCTTCCTCAGAATCTCTGGCACTTAGCAATGTGTGATCTCTAGGGTTTGCATCAGTCACAATGTACTCTTCTTGGTTTTTTTCCCCTCTGCCCCACAGGGTGCAATGGCAGCAACTTACTCTGCTTTGAACCGCAATCAGTCACCAGTTTTGGAGCCAGTCGGCCGTTCCACTCTTGCTCAGAGGAGAGGTATAAAAAAAATTACCTCAACAGCCCTGTGAAGTGACGTCAACCAGATGTTTGGTACCACAGCATAAGATGATAGCACAAATCATGGCGACAGGTAGCACATATCTGACAGATACCTGCAAGCACACTCTGTCCCAGCTGGTACCTATAATGCTGCTGCTCCTGCTGCTGCTACTGCTTTCATCTATCCTCGCTTTAAACTGTTGATGGCAAGTTACTGATCTTACTGGAGCTTCAAATGGAGTGACAGGTGGAAACACCATGAAAACGATCATGTTCACGACTGAATAAACCGGAAGAATTATGAATGCCACCTCTGACAAAAATACACTGAATGAAGCACTCTGCACCATATAGCATTATTTTTATAAGGAATATTTTTTGTCCCCTAAAATATTCTTTGTTACAGGTAGAGATGGACAGTTTATGTTAAGCACTTAGCTTAAACAATCTGTTTATATTAGCACTATATACTTTGTGCCATCCAACATTTTGTATGTTTTTGTAAACAGTTCACAAGCAGTACATTTCCGTGCTGTTTTCTTTAATGTATACATGCCTTGTTTTACTTAGATATTATTAATCATTTTGAAATTAAGTCTGATTAAACAGTTCACCTGGATTAATCAGTATTGTTGGACAGCTCTAAAAGAAGCCTGACTGTTAAACAGCTATTGAATGTAATACTATAAATATGTATTTCTTCTTGCCTATGTCTTTTCTACATTTCCATGTGTTTGACGCTGCATGTCATGTTACGAAAATCAGGATACTGTTTATAGTATTCAAAATTTAAACAGTGGATCTCTCACCATACTATATATGGTGACAGGTAACATAACCCAGAGAAAAGAAAACTTGCTCTGTATCTTACTCTGTCTTTTGTTTCTCCACCCCTCCCTCTTATTCTCTCCCATCTAATCTCTGGACTCAGGAATCATTGCTAAATACTTTCTGATAGAGGACATTTCTATATTGTTTGTTCTTATAATCCATTGTTAATATTTTATCTCTATTCTCTGACTTTTGTTTAAGCTGCAAAGGATTTGTTCAGTAAATGTTGGCATTACAGAAGAAAGCATTGAAGATAAAGCAAAAACTAATGTCAGCTTTGCCAGCAAAAAGTAGGTTTAAGCTGCATTCGTTGTGGTTGCAAAACCGATGGATCTGATGTTCTGTCAGATATTTTCTGATACTTTTAATTAACATGCAAAGCAAAATGAGACAAGAGCCATCCAGATCTGTCTGGGATTAGAATGTGTCATTATGATACACCATGAAAATAGTGTAGTCCCATTCAGGTAAAACAAGGCTGTTCAGAGTGAACTTTTCCCCAGATGGAAGCAAGTTTGTAATGAGGTGGAAAGACTAATTTTAAATACTAATACAAACTTTTAATACTCCTGGCCTTTTGGTGTCTTAAGTCATTAAAGACACGTCTTGATGCCTAGTCTTGAAAGATCAATTGCCCACATGAGAAGGTGCACTGGAATGCATTTGAATACAATGAGTGCCCCACACCACCAAAACAGTATGCCTCATCAACTCATTCCAGATATGAAAATGGCTCCTGGGAATTCCAGCTTTAATAAATATGGATCTGAGTGAACAGCTTGATGTGAGTAATACAATTTAGAAACTAAAAGGTGCAATTCTGTGTTTTGCATAAGAAGGTATTTTCTTGATTTAGTTGTATTAAATGTATTTTATGGTGATTAGTTTGCTAGTTTCCCTGAAATCAGAGGTTTGTCCAAAGGGAGAATCATCTTTATGACACCACAGATTTGCTCTAAATGAATGTAAGTGTTCCTTCTGCCACGAGTTTTTCTGAGTTCTTCAGAGCTTCCTTTGTTAGACTTGTAAAGGATCCCACTTTTATTGCCCTTAGAAATCTGTTAATATTTAATCCATCATAGAATTGTTAAGGAATCAGTTTAATGGAAAAGGATTATTAAATTACCATAGATCTCAGAAATGTGAGCTCTCAGCTCTTCCAAACAGTTAGCATTCTTCCCTTACTTTTGTTCTAGCATTGAAGTTCAGTTTTAGCTGTACAGATCCATCTACCCTTCCTTCAAGAAGCATTTTTCACTAGAGGCAGAAAAAGGCCATTTTTGTTGTCAGTGTTTGCAGTCCCAGAGGAACAGTGGCTTTTAAATATGTCAATCTGAAGACTGTCAGATCTAGTCAATAAACAAGACTGAAATAAAGGGGATGTAGTATGTCAATGACAGCATTTGAGTTCAGGAAGGAATTCCTCATGTGTTCTCTGTGTATATGTAAGTACCTGGCCAAGAACAGACCTAAAGCAGGAACTTTTAAGCTGCTTCACTATTGGCAATATCCAAATTAAAATAATATCGAAATACATTAGCCATATTTTGTGGCCCTCAGGCTTGCTGGCCGTTAGCCAAATAGTGAAGCAAAGTTATTTACATTCTCAACTAGTCTGTTAATTTAATCTAGACCTCACAGATATTACTACCATGTATTTAGCAGGACAGGGTGAACATTTTAAATGCTAATAAAACAAGGCAGTTCAGCACATGCTAACTCAAATGTGTTGAAGTCTAGTTCCACTGTATTTTTAAGCTGCTTTCTAAACCAAGGTATAAAGGGCCCATCTATGCAGGCAGTATATTTTACAGACTAGACTTCCATGGTGTTATGTATTTTGCCTCCTGCTTTGGATCCATGTTTGCAACTTTCACATTTTTGTTTCTGTAGCTGCAGTTGTTAGGAGCTATGAGGAAATCCACAATGTTTTTTCAGATTCTGGCACTCTTCTATTAGAATGTACCTATGACACACAATGTAAATGAATTGCTGGGCTGCTTCTTGGTCTTCAAAGCATAGCAAGAGCCTCTAGGGATAAAGAGTCATAGAGGATAAAAAAGGAGAACTGCAGGTACAGGTTAATTTTCTATATGTAGGCGATGGTGTTTATAGTGTGAAATTATCACGTCCTGTGCTTGAGAGCATAAGAACACAGGGAAGAGTATAGCTGTGATACTCATTACATGCCTTCTATACCAGTAAGGGCAAAGTTCGTTATTCGTAATCACTATAGCATTGAAACTTACTAGGAGTTTTTCAAGAGAATATTTAAAACTTCTTTCTAAAGAGACAAGGGCATAAGATAATAGATTTACATGTGTGGGATTTCCTTGTGTGTGTTTTGCTTTTGTAAATGTGGTGAACCAACTAAAGCTGTGCTTTTCTATTATTGGAAGGAAAGGATTCAAAGTATGCTGGTCCTTAGTAAGCAGCAATGGGTAATAGATGGATTTTCACTTCTGCAAATGATGTAAATGATTAGCTTTATCTTGATACTCTTGACCTAATCAAAGGGAAGGTGTACTTATAAGGGATGTAATTATTTTGCAACCTAGTGGGGGGGGGGAGGGAGGGAAATCTGCTTAAAACATTTTTAAAAAATGACAAAATCACAGATAAAATATTTTTCTACGGTTCTATACAATCATACTTTATACTAGTTTTCTCAGCATGGCATGTGTCTAAGGTACTGTTCCAGGAAATCAGTGGTATTGTACCTTGTTCTAGACCATTACAAGAGCATCTGTTAGATGCTTGGCACTGCTGTGATAGAACTGAAATGCTAGTTTTAAAAAAAAATGTACTGAATACTTTAAATGATTGTTTTATTCAAGAGTCTGATCTAGGAAATGTTCCAATCATGCTATTAATGTGTAATTAGAACTGTTCCAGATGTAACTAAGAACAGTTCTGGAAAGGTATCATTGCTTGTACTCCTGTCTAATGGCAGGTTTTGTAGTCTTCAAAAGAAATTGAAATTTCTACTATGAATAAACTTTCAAACACCTTAAAGTGCTTTTTTGTGTTAGTAATTTTTCTGCCTGCCTATAAAATCTGTTGTAAGTTCACCACTAACAGAGAGCTACACTTGCAGCACACCAAGTGTGCCTTTCCAATCAGAACCACTTTTTATTAAGCATTTGTCAGTTAAAATGTCACTTTTAGCAAAAAGTACAGAGGGAATCAAAGGAAAAAGACTTGCATTCAGTAGGTGCTGTAGACCAAATATCTCTGACACAGCAAGATCAGAGTACTGCAAGAATATTTTATTTTAATACCCTGAATGCACACCAGTCCACTGCAAAAGTACAATTTAAGGGTAGGCTGGTAAATAATATTTGCAAGGTCTGCATTGCTCTGGACATGGAGAACAAAGGCAAATCTGACAGGTGACTATCAAGGCTTACTGATTAATTAATGAAGCTTTAAACATTTGGAAAATTAAGAGCATGTGCCTGAACTGTTCTGTAAGCAATGTGCCACGTGACCTGGAAGTTGCAAGGTCCATCCTTTTTAGCCTCGCAACCCGGAAAAGACGCACGACGGTTCAAAGTTTTCCACAAAACCACAGGAATACCGACAGAGAGTATCCCAAGGCCTCGGGGTACCACGGGAAGGCTGATCAGACACAGACAGGTTTGTTGCCAGGCGGAAGGAGGCCCCGCCGCCCTGCCAGGGCAGCACAGCCCTCCCCTAAGGACACCGGGGTCCGGGGCCTCAGTGCAGCCTCTGTCCCGCCGGCCCAACAACACCTCGGGGTTCGCTTTGGAGTAAAGCTGAGGATCTGTAAAGCCTGGGAAGAAACCGAAGGGGGTTGGCACAAGCGGGATCCCG